GGGGGGGGGGGGGGGGGGCTCAGGTGAGAGCAGTGAAACAGTGTAAAAAGGTGTTTCCAACCAGAGGCGTGGTCCGTGGTTATGCAGTGGTTCCCAAAGTGGGGGGCAGGCCCCTCTCGAGGCCACCAGGTGGGCAGGACTAATTCATTTCATTTTTTTTCCCAGTGACCCCTCTCTGCTGATCATCTACCCCCCCCCCCCCCCCCCCCCCCCCCCCCCCCCCCCCCCCCCCCACCTCTTCATCCAATCGGCTTCTTCACTTCTGACTGACCACTGGGAAATTCAGGTATTTAGCCTTTGGGGGGCAGCATACCTGTAATGAGGGCGGTTGCAGAAGGGGGGGGTGGAGGTGTGAGCGGGGAGTGGTACCACGGTTATGGACTGAGAGTTTCACCTGAGGGACAGTTTTGGCTGGATGACCTTTGACCTGAAACTGTGGACTGGTCTCCAGGGAGGGGGCTCTCACCCCCCCTCTTTCTATGTTTCTTTCCCAAATAAGACTTTTTTTTTCAAATTTGACCCAAAGTCCAGTAAGTTCTTGTCCTTTTGTTGTGGAGAACACCAGGTCAGACGGAGGATTCTAACCAGCAACATTGTTAATTCACCAACACATTCTTCACATACCAGAGAAAAACACCTTGGTTTCATTCAACGTGTTCCTGGTCCGTGACCACAGATGGTCTTTGTGGGGAAATCTTGTGAAACAAAGTAAAAATGTATATTTATTAAAACGCAGCCTTGATTCTGCTGAGTCATGACTGATATTTCTCCTGGTGTTTTTCTTTTTTCTTCATAAATTTCCGTTAAAAACTCTTACTGTAAAAAACCCAAATGTATTTATGGTTTTGTTCAAATTCCTCCTCAGATCTCGAGGAACTTCAGTAAATTGATGGAAGTATTTGTGTACACAACAATACGGTGTACACACTGTTCTTTGTTTTACGGCACAGACTTTAAACCCATCACGGCCGATAAACCACAACAACCTGCAGCGTTGATAACAGTAAGAGATAAGAGAGATGTCATTACAGATTAATAACAACAGCCTGAGGCTGGACAACAATGCTCTGTTTCTGAATAAACTATGACCAGGCATTAAACTGTATCTTTGATCAAAGATACAGCCCCCCCTCACCCCCTCCACCTCTCACCTACACTCACGTCCAGTTATCGTCGCAGTAAAAACTAACGACTGCACGACTGTTGTTTTACATTTATTTCCTGTATAATTATAAAAACTCACTTTGTTTGTTTTTGGAGTTTAACTCTGAAAAAATAAATACATTTGAATTGAATGGAATTAATTTAATCTAATGTGCAACAATGGAAAACCTCAGAAAAAAATCACAGAAAAAAAACCCATCGATGACAAAAGAGTGTCGTCATTCAGCTAAAAAAGATCAGGATATGACTTTTGGTCCATATCGTCCAGCCCTATCTCAGACCATCAGACTGTCATACCATCAGATTATCATACCATCAGACT